TATCCACTGAGCCAAACTGGTTAGGGCTCTTAATTATATTTTTAAGATTGTCTCAGTCTGGCAACAGAATTTTAGAAATCTTTACACTTCCACATTTGCTAATCCCAAGAAAAGTTACTCATTTTGGTGCTAAGATTTGATTAAATTCTTAAGAGTACCCAGAATGTATAAATATAGTCAGCCATCAAGGCAGTTTAATGATTGCTTTACAAGTTCCACAAATCCAAAGGCAGATGGCATATGCAGATTTTATCTGATTTCAGTTTTCCCTTATAATTCACTGTAGTCCCCATTTTTAGAGCTCCTCTCTATACCTAGCTGTGTAGTAAGAATTGCACAGGTTACAGGACAAAGGGACCATGTCTCCTGCCTGCAGGAAGCTGAAAACCTAGTCTTGAAAATGACATTCAATGTGAATGAAACATAGAACAATATAAGAATGATAAATAAGGAAGCATTTACGTGGACTGAAATGGGAGGATGGCTTAGACTCCTGAGGCCAGCATCTCCTACCTCCAGGGAAGTGTAGGACAGAGCTGAGCCTGTGGTCACATGTCTGCAGTACTGTTTGAACTGCTGGAGCCCATCTTCTACTGCCAACTGCAGAGAAGTACCTTGTGGTCTGAAACAACCTTCTCTCTGTAGTGTGCGGATCTCTGAGATGCAGGTCTGCAGCCTTGCAAAGTTCCCTTTCACTTGCTGCAGAGAAAAATGAATCAAAGATACAAATCTTCAGTGACCCAGGTTTCAGATTAATTGGGAGTCTAACTTCATTATCATTTATTCCTCCTCAGGAGTCCCTTCTGTTTATTTGATCAACATTAACTGAATGCCTACTACGTTCATTCTAGGCACTACACTCAAATCTTCCCTACATCAGAAGAACGAAAATTTGCAGCCAAAGGGCTTTGATTATATGGAGTTACCAGAAAGAAGAAAGGAAGGTCCAGTTGTTACTACTTAGTTTTACTAGTTTTACTTTGGTGGCCTGCAAATTGGAGGCTCAGGGCTACTCTTAACATTATCTTTATTTCTCAGTCAGTCTAAGCAGTGGCAGCTTCTTTATTCAAAAGTGATGTTTTCCCAGAAATGAGGATTTTGATGTGGTTGATCATTTCATAACTGGTAAGGTCCTACCTAATCTGCTCCTCAGGACTATTTCAGTAAGTAAGAGATGTTTGGTTTTGTCTGCAGTCAGCTTAAGGAGCCAAGAGATAAACTTGTTCTCCTCACCCTCCTTTATAAAACTTTGCTATCAGGAAGTGTTCTAATACAATCTGATTCGAGGTCAATGTTACATCTCCTAAGGATATATGCATTTTGAATAAATGTGGAATGAAAATTTGTGACACTATTTGAAGAAATTCCAAGCCTCAATAGCAGGTGTGGAGTGGGAGTAGATGGGAAGGATAGCCAAATTAGTCCAAAATCTCATTGTAGGTCATACACGATAACTATGTATGGTGCCAGGTAGGTCCTGGAAATATCGGAGGAACACTTTGTAAAGTATATGCTTATCTAACCACTATGCTGTATACCTAACTAAAACGAATACAAATAATATTGGATGTAAATTGTAATTTAAAAAAATAAAAAAATAAAGAATTGGTAATATCTTCACAGTAAGGGAATTCTTCTGAAACTGCTTTGAGAAAAGATTAATCACTTTGGTCAGATTTATTTATATTAATGTCACAATGGATATAAAAGGAATTCTAATATTTTAATTATGATCCCTGTGCCATGATTCCTTATAAAAAGTTCAGGATTATTTGATTATACTCATAAATTAAATGTGAGGAGTTATATTGAGGTTTTCAGTTTGGGCAGGACTCCTAGTTGATATTGTTCTCCTTTTATATTTTGAGCTAACTCTGCAGATAGAAAACGTCAGATGCTTATATAGGTCAGAGGCAATGGGTTTAAAGTAACATTCTTCCTTAACCAAAGATTCAGTTGTTCTATACATAAGGTAATGGCATTGTTCAGCGATTTTCTCGAGCTTTTAACCAGGTTTGAATTTACTGTTTTTTTTTAGGGGAAAAAAGGGGGCTTGTAATTTTTCCTGAGATACAGAACAGCCTGCCTCTCCTAACAGAGTAACTAAGGGATCAAGGGATTCATCCAGGGCCAGATGTGCTGAGTAGTGCCAGATGCATATAACTTAGTCAATTGAGGAGGGGGGAAAATCCTTTTACCTTTGTTTGGAACATGAGCTCATTTCTCAAAAAGCCTCTTATGCTGGATACCTTCCATTTTGTCCTTCCAGGTTACTCTCTACTTTTCTCTACCCCTATTGCCTGAGTGAAGATAGATATTACAGGCAAATATGTTCATGGGACAGACAAGCACACGGAAAATGGCACAATAGAAGAACATATCTTCCACATGGCCATAAATGTCAGTGTCACTTTCACTCTGTCCTCAGTATACTCCTAGGTATATAATCAGTGGATTATATACAGTCAGAGTTATATAATTTACTCACCCATTTACCAGTTAACAGACATTCTGTTTTCAGTTTGAGGCTATTATGAACAATGCTGCCATGAATATTCATGTATATTTATTTGTGTGAATGCATGTTTTCATTTCTGCCGGGTAGATTTCTGGGGTGGAATTGTTGGTTATATAGAAGGTATATATTTAACTTTTTAAGAAATTGACAAACTATTTTCCAAAGTGGTTGTATCATTTAACCTTCCCATCAGCAATGAATGAAGGTTAAAGTTTCCCTGCATTCTCACCAACACTTGGTATTGCCTGTTAGTATTGCCTGCCTTTTTAATTGCAGCCATTCCAGTGAGCGTGTAATGTTAACTCTGTTTTTCTTTAACTTTTTAATTTGAAATAACTAAAGATTTACACAAAACTAAAAAAATTGTACGTAGGGAACTTGTGTAACCTTCACCCAGTTTCTTCCAGTGGTTACATCTTATAGAACTAGAGCACAATTTTAAAACAAAGAAATTGACCTTAGAACAATGTGTGCAAAGGGTTCTATATCATATTATCACATCTGTTGATTCGTGTAATCACCACCTCAGTCAAGATACAGAATAATTCCCTTACCACAAAACTCTCCCTTGTGCTATGCTTTTATAGTCACCTCTGATAGGGGGGACTTATAACCTAATAGAGCACCTGAATTAATCTGAAAAGTAATCATATTATTTAAGAACATAAAAAGACCATTATTTTAAATCTTAGAACACATATACTTATGTGAATAGGGGGTTAAGTTTCTCATATGTAAATAGGGGGTTAGGTTTTTCTTTTCAAGGCCTGTGCAAAGCAATTGAGGTGACTCAGCTGTGAATCCAGCAAGCAGAACCTATAAACATGGTCAGGCCGACCCACCAGGAGTCAAAACATTATCTCATCAACATCATCTCATCACCTGATGACTAATTACAATAGCTGTTGTCTGTGGATCCCCAGGTCCCTGGCCCCTTCCCTTTATAATCCTGTTCCCTGCACCTTGGCTGGAAGGCGGAATTTGATGCTTGTAAATGCTTGTCTTCTTGGTTGCCTAGCCTTCTCAATAAACGCCCAATACGATTCAACCCTGAATTGTTATGGGACACAGCAACGGGCAGCTGAGCCCAACTTGGGGGTTTCCTGGTAACACCTCCAGCCCCTCCCATTTATAATCCTTGGTAACCATTAACCTGTTCTTATTCTTTATAATTTTGTCATTTTGGGAGAGTTACATAAATAGAATTGATGTGTGTGACCATATGAGATTGGGTCCTCCCCCACCCCCACTTAGCATAATGCTCTCGAGATCCATCCAAATTGTATGTGTTCATTTCTTTTTATTGCTGAGTAGTATTCTATGGTATGGATATATTCGTTTGTTTAATCATTAATCTATTAAGGGACACTTAGGTTGTTTCAAGTTTCTGGCTATTACAAATAAAGCTATTGTTAATATTTAAATATGTGTTTTTGTGTAGATGTAAATTTTAATTTTTCTGGGATAAATGTCCCAAAGTGCAGTTGCAGTGTTATAAAGTAAGTGTATGTTTAGATTTTTAAGAATATTACAAACTATTTTCCAGAATAGTTGTGCCAGTTTATATTCCCAGCAGCAATGAATGGGAGATCCAGGTTCTCTGCATCTGTGATAGCTTTTGGCAGTGTTACTATTTTTTATTTTAGCTGTTCTAATAGGTGTAGTATTATCTCATCATGGTCTTAATTTGCACTTGCCTAATGGCTAGTGATGTTGAATATCTTTTCATGTGCTCATTTGCCACCTATATAGCCTCTTCATTGAAATTTCTCTTCATGTGTTTGGCCCACTTTGGAATTAGATTTCTTTTTAATGTTGTGTTGAGACTTCTTTGTATGTTCTAGATATGAGTGCTTTGTCAAATTCGTGATTTGGAAATATTTTCTTCCAGTCTGGAGCTTGTCTTTTTATCCTCTTGACAGGGTTATTTGCAGAGAAATATATTTAATTTTGATGAAGTCAAATTTGTCAAGTTTTTCTTTTATGGATTGTGCTTTTGGTGTCATATCTAGGAATCTTCACCAATTTCTAGGTCCTGAAGATTTCCTCCTATATTTTCTTCTAAAAGTTTTAGTTTTACATTTAAATCTACTAGTATAACCTATTCTGAGCTAATTTTATTTTTATTTTTTAAAATATATTTTATTTATTTTTTACAGAGAGGAAGGGAGAGGGACAGAGAGTTAGAAACATCAATGAGAGAGAAACATCAATCAGCTGCCTCCTATACACTCCCGACTGGGGATGTGCCCACAACCAAGGTACATGTTTTTGACCGGAATTGAACCTGGGACCCTTCAGTCCGCAGGTTGACGCTCCATGCACTGAGCCAAACCGGTCAGGGCTGATTCTATTTTCAAGTTCATTGATTCTTTCCTCTGACTTCTCCATTCTTTGTTGAGACAATCATTTGAAGATTTTGTTTTTTCAGATTTTAGTTATTGAATTTTTTGTTTCTAAAATTTCTATTTGGTTCTTCTCTGTACTTCTCTTACTTTGATGAGATACACTATTTATCCATTTGTTTCAAGCATGTTCATAACTGCTTGTTAAAGCATTTTTTTACGTTAGCTGCTTTAAAAACTTTTTTTAGATAATTTCAACATCTGTGTCATTTCAGTATTGTAGTCTTCTCATTCAAGTTGAGATTTTCCTGGTTCTTGATATGCTGAGTGATCTTTTTTTATTGTATTCTGGACATTTGGGGTATTATGTTATAAGACTCTGGATCTTACTTAGATCTTCTGCTTTAGCAGGCCTCCTCTGATACTCTGCCAAGGGGGAAAGTGAGCTTTCTAGATAATTATTACCAGGTGGGATGTGATTCCATTTGGCCTCTCTGATTACAACCCAGAAGGGAAGGTACCTTGTTACTTCTGGGTGGGGGTGGAAGTTCAGTCTCTCTACATGGCCCCCACTGACACTCAAAGGATGGGGAAGCTTCTTTACTGTCAGGTGGGCATGAAAGTCCTGCCTTTCCACTAGTCCTTCATTAATACCACCCTGTCTTGGAAGTAAAAAGGTGCCTCATTGCTGCTCCCCACATGCCTCCACTTTTCCTCCTCTGACACCACCTCAGGGGCAGAGATAACTTTTTAATGTTGGGTAGGAGTGGGGGAGTCCAGGCTCCTATACCAATTCCATGGACACTAGGTGGAGGAGGTCTTGTTTCCACCAAGTAGGGATAAAAGTCCTGGATCCCCAGTAGGCCTTCTCTGATTGTCCTAGTCCAGTGATAGCGAACCTTTTGAGCTCGGTGAGTCAGCATTTTGAAAAACCCTAACTTAACTCTGGTGCTGTGTCACATATAGAAATTTTTTGATATTTGCAACCATAGTAATACAAAGACTTATATTTTTGATATTTATTTTATATATTTAAATGCCATTTAACAAAGAAAAATCAACCAAAAAAATGTGTTCGCGTGTCACCTCTGACACATGTGTCATAGGTTCACCATCACTGTCCTAGTAGCAAGCTGTCTCAGAAAGGGGATGCACTAGAATCTCTGAAGTCTTTCTGATCCCTGTGATTGTGAACTTTGTATAGGGGAGAAAGTGATGATTTGGATTTGTTTCAGGAGGAGAGATAGTTGTGTATGTGTGAGGGAGCTTTATAAAAGCACGGCCCCTGGCCCACCTTTGTCTTCTGGTACCCTGAGGAGTTTCACTTGAGTCCTGTGTGAAACTGTAGAGAACATATTTTCAGATTTCTGCACAGTTAGGGCTGTCTGAGCAAAGAACATTGAAACCTGGGTTAAAGGATAAGTCTTTTTTTTAAAATATATTTTATTGATCCTTTATAGAGAGGAAGGGAGAGAGATAGAGAGTTAGAAACATCGATGAGAGAGAAACATCGATCAGCTGCCTCCTGCACATCTCCCACTGGGGATGTGCCCGCAACCCAGGTACATGCCCTTGACCGGGATCGAACCTGGGACCTTTCAGTCCGCAGGCCGATGCTCTATCCACCGAGCCAAACCGGTTTTGGCTAAAGGATAAGTCTTGGCTATTTACTTGAATAGCCAGAGACATCTGAAGAAATTTAGACTTATTTTCCTGTGTTTGCATTTCACAGGGGTGTAAAAGAAGTCCATTGCTTATATTCCAGAGGGCTGTAAATGCCAAGGTTTTTCCCAGGAATGGAGGGTGGGGGATAGATGTGGACTATTTAAACTCCCATATTAATAATTTTGGGGTTTCTCTTTTGCATATAAAACTCCCTTATGTGCAGGATGACATCTAGCTTTCATTGTGTTGGGTATTGGGCATGGGAACAGGCACAACTATTGCTGTAAGTAATAATAACTGTGATATGAGGTTTCTGCAGCAGGAACCTCATCTTTACTTTCAGGACAAAATGTACAAATATAGATATACTCACCACAAATGGGAGGATGCACTCGTGTTGATTTTGCACCATGTATAAGCTGAAAAGGGACATGCGGCTGGGGCCCATCAAGCTGCAGGCTAGAGAGAAAAAGTTCTGCATAGCCTCACAGAGGTTGGAGCAGATGTCAGCCCAGGATGGTAGAGAGATATGCACAATGAGAAGCCTCGGAGGTTGCTGGTAAATCTGCGTGGGAGTGGAGGGCCCTTTACCAGTAGTTCGCCCATGATACATGGCAGTCAGACCAGAGGTGGAACTGCAGCCACCACCTTGATATTCTCTACACCTATAGGGAAGAAAGAGAAATCACTGGTTTTTGTAAAGCTGAATTATATGCTCTGTTGAAACAGAAAGTCCAAAAAGAAGTCACTGGGTACTAATTCAAGTTTTTTTAGGCAGGTTACCCCATCTTTTTTTTTTTTAAAGGTATAATTCCATTTCTGTGCAATGTCCAGAACAGGCAAATCCATAGAGACAGAGAGACAATTGATGGTTGGGAGAGGTTAAGGGAAGAGAGAATTGGAGAATGACTGCTAATGGATAAGTGTTTCTTTTAAGAGGATGAACATTCTGGAATTATAAAGTGTAATGGATGCCCACACTTGTGAATATAGTAAAAACCACTGATTTATACACCTTAAAATGATGAGTGTTTTGGAAGGCTATCTCATCTTAATAGCTCCTGAGGGATCTAGATATTTGCCTGTAATGTAAGGCTGAGAATACTTAGAGATTCTGAGGAGAACTAATGAAAAAGTTATACAAAAGTCAAACTTCAGTCTCAGAGTAAGCCATATTCCCTCATAAACTTTCTTTTTTTTTAAAAAAAATTCTTTATTGTTGAAAGTATTACATGTCTCCTTTCTCCCCTATTGACCTCTCCCAGCCCGCCCCCACACTAAACTTTCTTTATTACCATTTATTGTGCTGTATAGTAATTTGTTTCTATGACTGTCTCTCCCACTATATTGTGAATTTCCTAAGGGGGAGAACCTGTTTTGTCAACTTTATTTATCAGTGCTTAACACACTTATTTTTTAAATTAAATTTAAATTTTTTATTGTTTATAGTATTACATATGTCTCCTTTCCCCCTCATTGCCCTCTCCCCGGCTGCTCCCAAACCCCAGCACATGCCCTCACTCCCCTATTGTCTGTGTCTATTGGTTATGGTTATATGCATTGCATGCATACAAGTCCTTTGGTTGATCTTTTAGGCCCCCCCCCCCCCGCTTTCCCTCTGAGGTTGGATGGTCTGTTCAATGCTTCTAACACATTGAATTTTTTTGGGTACATAGTAATTATTAAAAATGAAAACATGACCACATTATCCCCTTCAAGACCCATTCAAGACCCTTCATGACTTGACCTTCAGCTTTATAGGTCAACTTCTTAGAAAAATATATCTAACTAATACTAAATCACACAGAATATTTAACAACCCAAATACTCTATAACCATTGAAGAAACTTAATTGGTAGCAAATATCTTCCCACAAAGTAAATGACAGGGAAGATGATTCCCCTGATGAGTTCCATCAAACTCTCAAAAGACTAAGAATTTCCATCTCAGTTTCTTTCAGAGGATAGGAGAAGGAACATTGCTCAATTAGTTTTACTAGCTTAGTATAACCTTTGATATAAAAATCAGAATACTGCCGAGACCGGTTTGGCTCAGTGGATAGAGCATCAGCCTGCGGAATCAAGGGTCCCAGGTTCGATTCCGGTCAAGGGCATGTACCTGGGTTGCGGGCACATCCCCAGTGGGAGATGTGCAGGAGGCAGCTGATCGATGTTTCTCTCTCATCGATGTTTCTGACTCTCTATCTCTCTCCCTTCTTCTCTGTAAAAAAAACAAACAATAAAATATATTAAAAAAATCAGAATACTATAAGAAAAAAATTATAGGATAATCTTATCCAAGAACGTAGATGTAAAAATTTTAAACAAAATATAAGCAAATTGAAAACAATGGCATATAAAAAGAATTATGAAAGAAATAAAACTTATTGTTTGCAGATGCTACGGTGTATATAGAAAATAAAATATAATTTAGTTATATCATTTTCTTCAAAAGGTCTCACATTTTATTAAATTTTATTCTTAGAGATTTGCTATTTTTTAATGTTTATTACATTACATCTTTTTAAATTTAGTTTTCAGTTTGTTGCTAATGCATAGAAATAGAATTGATTTCTAAATACTGATTTTTTAAATTTAACAACCTTGCTGTACTTTCTTACTGATTTTAATAATTTATCCATAGATCCTTTTGGATATTTTTGTTCACAATCATATATGGTGAATAATGACATGCATAAGGTACATGAACAAAATCAGATCATAGCAGCATAAAGAGTATCCATGAGTCTTGTTCACAATTACCCCACACTGCAAACAAGACATATGCTAATCAATGCTAGAAAGGATATATTATGGTATATTTACACATACAGAAATGGTAAGTGATATAATACAGAAAGTGAGAGTTGAGTCAAACATAAATGGAGTTGTAGAAGAAAGAGCTGAGAATATTGACAATGACATCATTTGATGACTCTATATAAACAGCCAGAGGAACTTAGTGAAAGTGAACAAAAAAGTGGTTATGACAAAAAGATGTCCTAGACAAAGTACCACTGCAAAAAACTTCATATTAGAGGGACTCGTGGAAATATTTTACAAAATTTAAAGCATAAAGGATAAACTATTGTAAGCTGATTCAAACTTAGGAGTATAACAATTTGCTAGGGCATAGAAAAGATGCTTGCTCTATCCTAAGTTATGTCATGAGAAGAAGAGGAGCACAAGCACTATTCAAACTACCATTGATAATTAAAAAAAAAATTTTATTGATTTTTTACAGAGAGGAAGGGAGAGGGATAGAGAGTTAGAAACATCGATGAGAGAGAAACATCGATCAGCTGCTTCCTGCACACTCCCTACTGGGGATGTGCCCGCAACCAAGGTACATGCCCTTGACTGGAATCGAACCTGGGACCCTTGATTCCGTAGGCTGACGATCTATCCACTGAGTCAAACTGGTTAGGGCCCATTGATAATTTTTACAAAGAAGTAAAACACTTTAATTCTCAATGTTTCTAATGTTTTAATTTATAGTGTGCTAAACAGATACTAATTTTATTATTTTTCATTTCCCTGTACACTTATAACTGACAATAAGAGAGCTTTTAACATTTGATAACAATTTTGAGAAGTCCTAGAATAAATGTAATTTTTCCCATTGATTATTAAGATCACTTTGGCTGGCCAGTTTGGCCAAGTGATTGAGCATCGACCCATGTACCAAGAGGTCACCGGTTTGAGTCTTGGTCAGGGCACATACCTGTGTGGGCTTAGTCCCCAGTGGGTTCTTGCTGGAGGCAGCTGATCAATGTTTCTCTCTCATCGATGTTTCTCTCTCTCTATCCCTCTCCCTTCCTCACTAAACAAGCAAACAAACAAATAAAAAAAATTTTTTTAAAAAGATCACTTTGACAATTGCAGCTTGTACAGTCATTTTTAGATCCCACACTGTGTGCAATTCCAAGACTGGACTTTAATGAGGTAAGAGGCCATTCTCTTCCCTATATCCTCAAATATGATCAATTAATGTATTTGATGTGTTTGGGCACAGTACTAAGCACAGTACTAAGAGAATCATTAAGCATCTGACTACATCTGACCCTGTACTATATTCTCCACTTTTGCCAACAAAACCCACTTACTGGTGTCCCTGCAAACTGGTTAAACCTGGAACTGGGCCTTGAACCACCAGAAGCCATCAAGTTACTCCCTTGCGAAAAACCTTACAATCGTTTTCAATTATACTTGGGACAAAATCCAAAATCCTTACTCTGGCTCCGAAATTCTGTATGCATCTCCGTTTCATCTCTCCATCCTCATGCCATGCCATTCCCTGACCAACCCCCTTCCAGCCTACCCCGCCACTGGGGCACCATTCACATGCACAAATTGTGGGCCTCTCACTGTGGTTCCCACCGTCTGAGCATTCTGCTCCTTAATCCCTTCATCCTTTAGATAACTGAATTTAGGTCTTAATAGGGTACTGCCCCTCATAAATGCTTTTATAGCCTTTAGGACAATTTATTTGTGACTATTGATTCAATGGTTCTCCCTCCCTCAATGCTCAATTAAAAATTTCATGGATCTTGAGCACTTTTAATTAATTTATTTAAAAAAATGTGATTGATTTCAGAGAGGAAGAGAGAGAGGGAAACAGCAATGATAAGAGAGAATCATTAAACATTACCTCCTGCATGCCCACACTGGAGTGGAGTCTGCAGCCACAACTGGGGCATGTACCCTGACCAGGAAACCAACTGTGACCTCCTGGTTCATGGTTTGGCTCAGTGGATAGAGCATTGGCCTGTGGACTGAAGGGTCCCAGGTTCGATTCCTGCCCGGATTGTGGGCTTGATCCCCAGTAGGGGGTGTGCAGGAGGCAGCAGCTTATCAATGATTCTCTCTCATCATTGATGTTTCTCTCTCTCCCTTCCTCTCTGAAATAAATAAAAATATATTTAAAAAAAGAAAGAAAAAAAAAAAAGAAACTCAACCACTGAGCCACGTGGGAGGGGCGATCCTGAGCACTTTTGTCTCCGCGGACTCTCACTTCATTAAAAAAAAATAAAAAAAAATTAATGAATAGATTTTTTTGTGGGCTGTAAAAATTTCGCTTTGTTTTCTGACGTAAGAAAAAAAATCAAAACATTTTCTTTGATTCTTTCATTTTTCCCCCTGACTTTAAAAGAAGTCTGAACATTTCCGTGGGCCCCTCAAAGAGTCGTGCGTCACAGGCGCGGCTGCGCTCAGCGTGCCTGACACATGGGTGGCCCAGGGCCCAGGCTTGGGAGAGCCCTCGGGAGACAAGGCGTCTGCGGTCCTCTGGTCAGAACCCCCTGCCAGGCGGAGCCTGCCAGGCTGAGCCGGACCCGCACCCGCCCCCGTGGGCCTTGGGCCTCTGGGCGCCCTCTTGCCCCAGCCCGAGCTGCTAACACCGCCTGGGGGGCGAGCCGGCTGAAGCCCAGGTGGCTTCTTGTTTCCCTCTTTTCCTCCCTCGGGTCTCCTTAGCCCTTCTCCTGCCCTGAGGAGTGGAGAAGCTCTGGGGTCCCCACTTGCTGGGGGAGGGCCAAGACCCATCACCCCGCCCTTGGGTTCCCCGCACACGCCTGCGCAGCGGAAGGCGCCCCCTTCAGGCCGGCGGCTGGAGGCGGGAGTTGCCTCTGGGTCCAGCTCAGGCTGCACCCCAGGAG